AGCACTGGAATGGTGTACCAGGGGCTGGCAGGAGAGGGAAATGGGGGGTTATAAGTCACCGGGCATAAAGCTTCAGTGAAGATGAGTAAGCTCTAGAGATCTACTGCATGACACGCACCTACAGTCAACAATATGTCATACACATGACGTTTAAGAGGATAGATCTCATGTTTTCTGACCCAATAAAGTGTAATTATTCAAAAGCAAAAATAAGAGACAGGAAGTAAAGAGAAGAGTGAGGTTGGGGGTATCTGGCACCCATGTGTAGGGTCACCTCAGTTGACTGCATCTCTCAAAGGCCAGGTCCTCCTAAAATGATCAGCTTCACACGAGGATTTACTTACTGGTAGCTCTCATTTCCAGTTCTAGTAACTGCTCCCCACCCCCAGCAGTGACAACACCCCTTTAGGCCTAGGGGTGTTACCAAATCCTATTCATGAAACCCTACTCAAATTTAAAAAAAAAATTTAAACTAGAAACAGGATACCTGATTGTGGGAATTATGAAAAATCTTAAGGGACATATAGGTAAAGGGATAGATCTTTTTAAAGATTTAGCTTTCTTCTTCTTTTACAAAATTAATTGAATGCACAAAAAAAGAAAACTGAAACTTCAGTCTTCAGAAAACAATTTTAAACAAAATTAAGAAAACCTCCATTAGTGTTTTCTGACTTTCTGGTTATTAGTTTATCTTATATAACTTCACATGGATCTGTGCTAGGTCCCATATGTTATTATTATATGTTATTATTGAGCAGGTGCTCAATAAATACAGGCTGGACCACTAGAGAGAATCCCATGGTCACCTTTTCCTAGAGGGCACTTGAATTTAAGTAGCCAGAAAATCCAAAGACATGTCTACCTATCCATTTTTCAGAATCCTCTTTCTCACTATTACATAGTCACAGCATTGAAGAACAGCTTTTGAAATCTCTTATGCCGGGATTTTAGAGAAGGGGAGTTGGGCTATAAGTTCTAGAACTTCTAATACACAGCGAGAACTACTGCTGAATTTTCAGTCTTAATTTAGTAAACAAAACAATCCCGCTGCTAGAAAAAGCCCTTTGTAAAATGAAGTTCTTGGTTTTATTTTTGCCCCCCCGTTATGAAAGTGGGCTCTCATTTATATAGACTGGGATATGTAACCAGTTAAATATCTAAGTCCAGGTGAGGAGAGTTCTATACAACCATATTTCTTTAGTCTAATTTGTTTTTAAGGTAACAGACGATTGGTTGCCATTTAAATACATATCAGATTATCCACTTATGCATTTTGTAAAAGATATTTTAAAAATATAAATCCAAGAAATACAAGGCAAGTATTTTAAAGGCATATATCTATCTAACACAATGTAAGTTTAGGAAAGTCATTAACTAGAGGATTTTTATTTTATTTCAACTTGAGATAAAATACTTCCGTGTCCAAGTGGCACTGGTGTATACATACACAAAATATTAACTTACAGATTAATTTTCTGACAGCGAAGAAATCCTCAGTTAAGTTGCAACTAAACAGAAGCAAATACTAAAACAAAAATGGACTGAACACAGACATTTATTAGTTTTTTCTAAAAGAATATGTTTGGCGGCTTGAGTCAATGGTAATGCAAATAAATTTCCTACAAAAATGTAGGCTAAGCAGCAAAATGTTTCAAGAGCACTGAACAATTATTTCATCTTGACATTACTTTTATTTACCAACCGAGACCCTACCATCATAAAAACAACATCAAAATCACTACAAGACCTCAATCATTTCTTCTGGGCATTTAAAAGCTATAAATAAGCACCTAATCATTCTAGAGTTTTAATGGTTCTGAGCAAGATGATCTAAGGACCAGCACAAAGGACATCAACTTTTACATATTTTGCTGCTTAAGAAGCACAGTAAGGATTTATAATGGGAGGATTTTTATAAAATTAATATTAATGTTTTTACCAATGGAAAGTAAAGGAATGTTTTAAGAAAAACCCACATTTCAGTTACTGAAGTCAATCAGACATTTAACAACAAAGCTGTGAAGCAGCAGATGAGACTAATTCACTTGCAATTACTCTGGATCGACAATGCCAAGTTTAAATGACCGTTTAATGCCAACCTACGGGAACCTCGTGTGAATCTTGTTTATACGCTGCTGCCACCACCGAAGCACATCCGCTGTGAATACGGTCAGGGAGTATAGCACAGCGGGTATGCAGCAGGCCCTGTGAGCTGCAGGGCCTGGCTCTGAACTCCATCTCCACCCGTGACTGTCTACAAAGCCACGGGCACGTCTCTTAACTTCTCTGTTCGCAGTTTTTCCAAGTGTAAAGTGAAGATTACAATGATGTTGTAAAGATTAAAAGAACTGATCCATGTACAGCACTTAGAAGGGTGACAGGCCCTACCAAACACTCAAAGAAGAATAACAGCTTTATTATTATGTTCTTGTTCCACTAATATTAGTCTGGCTGAGTGGCTATCAATCAATAGAAAGATCTGTGTCTTTAATGGCTTCAATCTGAAAGCCATTTTAATTTTCTGAAGAAATCCTTTGCATCTTTTGTGATAAAAACAGAACAAAATCCAGATGTGACTCAAAGCACTCTGCAGATGAATTATGAATGCCCTGCTTCAGATACACTGCTTCCTACCATTTGTAAGAAAAGCTATACAAGGTTTAAAGATCTAAAAATCCTTTTGTTAACCATTATCTCAAAAGTCTGCAGAAGCAAACTGGTCTACTTTTAAATTGGAGTCGTGGCATGTCAGCAAAAATGGAGCAACCTAAGGCTTTGAAGGGCTAACAGACATTTCAGAAACACTTGCTGGAAGAATCCCAGAGGAAGGACCACACAGAGGTGACCAGTGTGGGCTTTGGAATCACAGAGCCAGGTCCCCAGCTCTGCGCAGGCGCCTGGACCCTGTGCCCTCTACGGGCATCCAGCTCTGAGCCACTTGCTCAGTGGGGGTGAGCAATAAATGACACAGTGCAAGGTAAAGCAAGGGGTTATGTTTCTGACGACAATATACGCTCAACAAATGTAGCGCCTGTCATTTCTAAAATAATTATTGTTTCTATTATCATTACCTGACAGGAAAGCCTGCTATCTGTCCTGCCTTAATCTGTGGCATTTAACTCATAAATGTTATCTACTAGCTTTATTTGAGGCAGGCTCACGTTGTCTTGAGAAATGTGTCATGGCTTCCAAGAGAAATTACAAACTTTTCACAGATTTATATGCTCAGTGTAACTATGTCAGATGGATTCAAGTATATTTTAGGAGTTACATTTCTCTAAAATGAGTATATTAGAGCAGTCCTGAAAACAGATTATGTGTCAGTTTAACTTGAGTCACCTGTATCAGCTAATAATTCACCTTAAAAATAGCATACTGAGGTACCAGACTAAGAATAATGATGATACTGATGGTGATGAGAAACATTATTATATACCAGAAATAGTGATATATTTGTTTTGTGTGTTTTCTCACTTACTTTTCAAAGCAACCCTATAAGGTAGGTATTATTTTTACCATCACACGGATGACGAAAGTGTGACTCAGAAAGGTAATTTACCCACAGTCACACACCCAGTGTGTGGTGGGACAGGAGTAGCAAGCAAGAGTCCAAAGCAAAAAAGCTTCAAGATGGAGGATCCAGACACTTAGCTATATAGGCCACAGTATTATGAACTGAAGAAATAGGGAAAATGACCAGGTAAGGAGAGTAATGTAGAAATATGCCCTTGAAGACGAGGATAAAAGGAGATGGGACCCAAGCTGAATATAGCTAGAGGGTCTAAGGAGATCTTCTGGTTTTCTTATTTGTCTATTTTGATTTTTACAGGAGTAAGACATGGACATGTTTATTGGCCAAAGAAGGCAAAGGCACTCACTGGAGAGTACATAATGTACAAAGCATGATCCTATGTGAGGCATAAAATGAAGGATCAAAACTCCATAGGGAATGACTGTATTTTCCTTGAGACAGGATAGAGGGAAAGAATGAACAGAAAGAGGGGGGAATGCTACATAATTATGGGCAAAAGAAGGAAAACAGAGGGTATGTGAAACCAAGAATGCTCATGACCACAGCTTTTAGAATCCGTGACCCACGCAAAAGGGGCATCTGAGCAGAGAGGCCAGGTTCCTAGGGGCTCAGGAAGATCATGAGTATTGTAATGGGAAAGGTAGTAAAAGGTCTGACTGCCTGGTAGCTCTGAGGATCCAGCCGATATGGGAAATAACATATCTGTAACAGCACTAATCCAGAGTTGTGCGATTTGCTCTTACAAGGAATGAGTGTGTATACCAGGAGAGCTGTTGCTGAAGGCAGCGTCTGCAAGCACAGACGCAGAAGTGGTGAGGTCGAGACACGGGACTGACCCAGGACCAGCAGCCTGGCAGGCTGATGTGCACAAAGGGCACATGGTTGGATCATCCTGACAGAGCAGCAAAGCACAGACCCCCAGGGTTTGGGCTGGTTGGGCAAAGAAGTTAAACAGGAGGGAACTGGTAAGAACAACGAAATGAAGCCTGTGATGAATGATGGTGGCAAGAGGAATGACAGCCAGGTTTGAAGAGCGTGATGACAGTAGGAAAGGTAGCTGTAGTCTGGAGTTTGGGACCACTGTAGACACAGATCGGCTCTGAGTGAGGACAAGGCACAGCCAAGGAGATCTGGCAGGGAGGAGAGCAAAAACCGTAAAGTAGGGCGTGGCTGCATCTGTCCTCTCCACGACCACCTCTTAATCCGCACAGGTAACCAATAGCTGTTCTAATGAATTTTAAGCCGTTGCATTAAAATTACCTGTAGAGGGCGCCTGGGTGGCTCAGTTGGTTAAGCCTTTGGCTCAGGTCATGATCCCGGAGTCCTGGAATCAAGTCCCACATCGGGCTCCCGGCTCAGCGGGGAGCCTGCTTCTCCCTCTGACCCTCTCCCCTCTCATGCTGTTTCTGTCTCTCTCTCTTTCTCTCAAATAAATAAATAAATAAAATCTTAAAAAAAAAAAAATTACCTGTAGAAAGTATGATGTTCCACGCACACTTTCCATAACCTTTTTGCTGCCCGATGGTTTAGCAGTTTGAATCCAATGGTGCTCTCAAATTGTTCGAGCTAGAATAAATCAATAAACTAAATCAGCATATTTCCTTAGAAGTTGATTAGAAGCTACTGAAAAACATGGATTCAGATCTTTCTGTAAGAAGTTAATTCTTCTCAAAAAAGGGAGACATTCGTATACCCAGTGTAATTACACAAAATGAATTTTTTGTAGACTGCAATACTAGTTTCTATGAAAAGCAAGTACAACTACGGACTCTAACCCATGTCCACTACAACTCATTCTACCACCCTCCTATTGATCTCTATCACTTAGCTGTTTCGACAACAACAAAATAACGGCCCCCCCAACTATGTGGCAGGCACTTACTACCTTTCCTTTTTGCTGAAGGGTATGGGTGGCTCTTGCTTTTTTATTTATTTATTTTTTAGCAACATGGAATTTCATGCAGGTTTATCATTAAGAACTCTGACCTTTTTTGCCAGGAAAGAATACAGAATAGTTCATTTTATTAAAATTCAATGGGAAAAATTCAGTTAGCGCACGGCCATAAAGAAGAACACTGACCAAAGCTGTTCAGATATGCCCAGGTGCACGTGACATTGCTTACCTCTGCTGGCCTAACTTTAATGTAGAAGTTACTGCGCTTATAGGAAATTTTCAAGATTTTCGGCCAAGCGAAACGATTGATTCTCAGTCTGTCTTTGTAAATGAGGAGCCCGTTAGCGCACACACCCAGCTTGATGTCCACGCCTTCCGAGTCCTGCCAAGCATAAGCCATTTGACCATGGTTAGAGCTGTCAAAGTTACATAAGTCAGGTAGCTCATTATCCCGCGCTCTCCTTAAACCATGACCAGGAACACCAACTTTACAGATTGGTATTAAATCTCAGTGACAGTACACAAGTGGACACAGAACACCTTAAATCTATTATCTTCCGGGATCAAATCTGATTTGTCAAAGAGGTGTAGCCACCTGTCCACAGGATACAATATTCTCCAAAAGGCATAACTTTTATGTTCCCAAGCCTGCCCGCAAGAGCTGATGGGAAAGAAGGGAAACAGAACTCAATGTAGACATTCTGAAGAGACGGGGTTTTCCTGGAGGCTATTCCAGCCCTTGGGGACAGTCTGTCAGCCCACCCTCAGGTGCGGTCAGCCATTTTACTTCAGGCAAATTTATTTCAGATGGACTATGCTAGCTAAGAGCTGTTAAATTTATGTCTCTATTCGGCAAAACACCAATCCCTCACAGAAAAGTTCTCTTGGAGGCCGAATGCTGAAATCTCTGAATTCTTCCGAGCCACTCCTCAATAACTCAGAGGGCTGACCTCCAGTCTGCATTATAGCATTGCTTTGGCTGGCATATTTCAACGGACTGCAGACTAATCTTGAATTTATTCAAATGGTTTTCGCTCCCAGCATTTTAACTTGGAATAGATGACAATCGAGAATAATCACAAGCCTGAACGATTTTTAAAAATCAAATAAATTTACAGATCAAAGTGAAATAGTGTCTCCTCACATTGCAAGTAATATTGAGGACACAATAGCACGACACTCAAAATACACAGGTCGTTGTCTAACTTTTAAGGGAAGAACTGGATCTCATTCAAGATACGTAAAATTGAAGATTATTATTCAGAGAGATCCACATTTTCAGAAATCATTTCCAACATGGCAGAAATTTTTTTTTTATTCTTATGTTAATCCCCATACATTACATCATTAGTTTTAGATGTAGTGTTCTGTGATTCATTGTTTGTGTATAACACCCAGTGCTCTATGCAGAATGTGCCCTCCTCAATACCCATCACCAGGCTAACCCATCCTCCCACCCCCCTCCCCCCCTCAGTTTGTTTTTCAGAGTCCATCATCTCTCATGGTTCGTCTACCCCTCCGATTTCCCCCCCTTCATTCTTCCCCTCCTGCTACCTTCTTCTTTTTTTTTTTTTTTTTTTATTCTTATGTTAATCCCCATACATCATTAGTTTTAGATGAAGTGTTCCATGATTCATTGTTTGTGCATTAACACCCAGCGCTCCATGCAGAATGTGCCCTCCTCAATACCCACCAAACAGGCTAACCCATCCTCCCAACCCCCCCCCAGAACCCTCAGTTTGTTTTTCAGAGTCCATCATCTCTCATGGTTCGTCTACCCCTCCGATTTCCCCCCCTTCATTCTTCCCCTCCTGCTACCTTCTTCTTTTTTTTTTTTTCTTAACATATATTGCATTATTTGTTTCAGAGGTACAGATCTGAGATTCAACAGTCTTGCACAATTCACAGCGCTTACCAGAGCACATACCCTCCCCAATGTCTATCACCCAGTCACCCCATCCCTCCCACCCCACCCCCCACTCCAGCCATGGCAGAAATTCTTACTGAGCCTGCTGAAACAAACACCACATTTAACCTAAGTCTCAAATTCAGTGGAAGTGTAGCATTTCAACAGCCTTGTTACTGAATCATCTAATACAAATCAGATTACTCTTTTAAAAATAAAAGGACAGTACTAAGTAATGCATGCCAATTGCTTTCGCTGCTGCCATACCTGAATAATTCATATTTACACATAAAATTACATTGGACAATCCAAGCAGGTTTAAAAATCTCATCTATAAGGTGCTTTATTCACCCATATCTGGCAGCCCCAATTCTCTCTAGGAACAGAGAAAAAAAGCTGGGATGGATCAGGCACAGGTGTCCAAGCAACTTGGCACCAGTCACAAATGATGCGTTTGCCAAAAACATCACTGGCCATGGCCACAGGGAGGAGGCCGGAAGACTGCCCAAGACAGCATGTTCTCACCACAAGTAAGGAGGCAACACTGACTTGAAACATTGAACAAAGTCATCTCTAGTCTGAAGCAATCTTCAGACAGGACACTGAAGCTATTTTATCAGACTTAGGAATAAACACAATCTGGAACCAAGTAAATCGGTTCATTTTCCGTTGTTCCATGTACTGCTTCAGAATTATCAGTATTTGTGTGAATACGAATTACAGATAAAGAGTAACAAGCGAAAGGGAAAAAAGCATGCCTTAGTCCTCCATATTTGACTTCTGCCAATCACTCCACAACCAAGTCAGAAAAATAAACTAATAAAAAAGGAACACCTCAGGGAGCTGCCACCTATGCATATCAGCAGGATCCCAGGCCCTCTGACCTTGGAATGGGTTCAGCCCATGGAAAGTTCTCACAGATGGGAGAGAGGAGAGAGAGAAGGGAGGTCAGGGATGTGTCCCTGTGAGAATTGCAGCTCCTCTGAAGACCGTCCTCCCCACACACAGATCTCTCCTTCTGGGTTCTGGCAACCACTCTCCACCCTCACCCCTTCGGAGGAATTGGGAGGGCTGCTGGTATGAGCCCAGAGGTGTCCCAGGCTCATGGTTTCCCTGTACCTGTGTGTCAAGAGTCCTTCCATTCAACACTCTTCGGCCTGTCCTAATGGGAATGTGCTATTAAGAACTTCTAATAAAAATAATTTTTTTACTTAAATATAATCAAGACAATGAAAGATGTATGAAGGCACAAACTTCAAACTCCACCCAAAGTTCTTTTAAATTGCTACAGACTTTCTTCTCAACAAGCTACAAGTATCTTCCTCATCAAATATTATGAGTCTATCAGATGACAAACAGAATGAATAAATGTTACTCTGAACTTGTTAAAAAAGCAATCTGTCCTAACCCCACAGCAAGAATGGAAATTATACTGAAATAGAGCCCACAACTTTTTTTTTTTTGCTTTTCTAAGGTATACCTTAAAAAACAAGAATCGTGAAACCTTGCCAAGTATTGCCATCTAAGAATTGGTTTTTAACTAGTGATCAACAAATTAAAAAATTTACATGTGGCCAGAGTAATGGGGTTTAAGAAGAGGAGAGACCCATGGGCTTTTTGGTCCCAAACCTGTTCTCTCCTGCCTCCCCTGTCTGGGTCTCTTGGCTGACCCCGCCTGTCTCCATCACAGAGAGAAAGGAGCTGGAAAACACACAAGTGGCAGGAAGCCCCATTTCACCTCCTACAATTTATCAGAAGGTATCAGGCAAATATGGGAATGCTTAACAATATGCGGCTTAAGCAAGTCGTTCTCTGCACTCTGTCTTACGCAGTTGTAAAATAAAAAAAACACTCAAATCTCAAATGAGGTGGTGTAAGTGGAAGGACTTTTAAGAATTAAAGGCATCTAGCACCTAGCAGTTAAAAATGATGATGCCAGAGACTATTTACTGACATGGAAAAATCTTTTAACAGAGCAAGCAAAAAACAATCAACCAAGAAAAAACAAACCCCTCACAAAATGATACCTGTAGTATGATCCTACTGAAAAAATGCCTCAGAGTTCAAGTGCTCAGAGATGGTTTTTTTGTTTTTTTTTTAAAGAAAACAAGAAAATGTTTCAAAATAGCAATAGTGTTTATTTCTGCATAAAGACATTTCAGTGTTTTTTTTTTTTTTCCCTTGCTTGCTTCTATTTTCTGTAATGTACACCTATTTACTTTTATAACCAGGAAAAACAGTTAAAGAATAAAGGAAGCCACTGGAGAAAAAAAGTGCTTTGCAAACATGAAGTACTATCAACACAAGAGCAGGAATGATTAATCTGAGGCCTAGGGAGGGAAGAGATCTTTGGGTGGGAGGCTTTCCAAGAGATTTCTCCAATCACACAGTCAGAGATTCCTAGGCTACATGTAGGGATTGGCAGGCTCTTTTAAAGCACATTTTTCGAAACCAAATTCATCTTTCACCTTACCTCCTGCTTTCCTCCTGGGCTCTCCGAGCTCTGTGATCATCCAGACTAGGGTCATGAAGCACGTGATGCTTATTAGTGGCATCTTCCCAACTCAATCCCTTTCTCCTATCACCTAGCCCATCATTCCATCCTCCTCCCACCTCTCAAATTAGGCTGCAGGTGCCGCACCCCCTGGAGCCTGGGCCAGTCTCCTCCATCTTACAAGAAGTACTAAAACAGACCTGCGGAGAAGAGCCCGACCCTCAGGCTCATTCACAAGCCCAAGTTTTTTTCAAAAATGGTTACATCCATACTGCTTTTGCCCTTTCATGGTTGCTAGGAACTGCTCTTTTCTCCCACGACCGAGGTAGGAGAGGGGGCTGGGAGAGAGGCAGCACTTGACACAGCAAAAGCTGGGATGCAGAATAAGCCAGGACAAGGGGTAAAGATGGCTGACAAGGGGAGTCTTACGATAAGTACGTATGAAAGGGTATTAATTGAAAAGACTGAGAAAAGAAGTAGGGCGAGAATCAATGGTCCTTCCCACAAGCATAAACCCCACCGTTAGTCACAGAATATTACAGACACCCTTGGGTGAGGGCGAATAGCCTTTTCCTAAAAGTGAGCTAGGCCACTCTGAAACTGGAGTCCTCTCAGAACTTCTGTCAACAGTTGGGAAAAGATGCCACTTCCCAGGACACGGACAGTACCTTGGCATGATGTAGGTCAACACCATACATGGAGAGCCTCTTTGCATTTTCTAAGAACTGAGAATCAGCTTGTGCTGGAGATAAACCCCTGAGAATCAAAAGAAACAATATTATCTTATTGGCAGGTGCAAGGCAAACGTGGCCAAAATGGGAAAGGAGCTTATGAGCTCAGAGCATCCAGGCTGGAGACGGTAACCCGCAAAATCTGCAGACAAGCAGGAAATGGGTGAGAAGGCTTACCTCTGAACCTCAGGCATTTTTCCTCATAAGATAAAAAGGGTAAGGGTAGAGATTTAGATTATCTTAGAAAATTATTTTCAGGTTTCTCTCCACTGGGGAAATGGGTGTAACATAAATTACCTGAGAGTAAAAAAGTGATCTCATCTTTCTGAAAAAGGCAAATTCTTGCTTCCTACTCCTTCATTTTATTTCACCAGGACTGATAATAATACAGACCACAAGTACTTGTATTTGATTTTACACCTACGGTAGTTAACACAGATCACATCCTGCCCATATTAAAATTATTTCCATCCCCGTCTCTAGTCACAACTCCACAAATTTTCGGCTCCCACAGAGCAGGACTCCATATTCACCGTGGCATTTCAGGACCTGCTATTTCAAATTCGAATTATACAGTAAATACCTATTGAGTAGAATTGGAATAAAATTAATAATATAAGAAATACTGCCTTTTTTTTTTTTTTTTACAGAAAAGTCAATGAATGAGGTCTGTTTAAAAATTTCTAATCTCTGAAAGTTCCTTTCCAAACATTTTTGTCAAATTTTTACATAATTTCAACCCTGCAATATGGGACAAACTATGATTTTGTAGTGAGAGTTTTTTAAACTTGTGCTAAAAAACACATTTATTTTCACAAAGATATAAAAGTTCTTGAAATGTAATATGGTATATTTACTATGGTATTAAGTAAGTAAGTAAAGCCTAGCTGCTAAAGCAAAGCTCATCTTTTGTGGATAGAGAAAACCCCTGTGTATTTTAGTTACTGCTCCCAGGTCCATCACCACCCACATTTCTGATCCAAACCCTGAAGCCTCACTCTCTCTCCAGCTTTAGCAAATAGGATAATAAAAACAAAAGGCAGAATACATAGTAAATGCCAAACAAGGACGTGGGTGTGTCTGCTGCACACACACACGTGTGTGTGTGTGTGTGTGTGTTAGGGGACAGGTTTGGGAGGAGGCGGGAGGAGATGTCCTAGGGAGAAGTAACTTCTTCCAATAAATGAAAACACTGGGGATCGTGAGCACTGTTCTTCATAGGAGAGTCGTGAACACAATGAAAGGCTCTCGCAAGGGCTACAGGTTGTTTGGATTAGTACTAAGTGAGGTTCCAGAAGGAAAAGCTGGATAATCCCGTAAACTATGCTCAAATGTCTCTCAAGCGTTAGAAGGGAAGCTGGTTAAATCTCCCACGGCTGTTCTCTCTCCGGGAAGCGAGTCACCACACCTGTGGGTTTTATGCAGCTCTGCCACCTTCTCTTCCAGCTCCTTGGTCTGTGTGGGGGCAAACTGGAAGTCACTGAGGTCACTATTGCCATGTTCTTCTGGATCATAGTCCCCAAGCTCAGCCTGCAGAGTATAAGATCCCAGGAGGGCGTGCGTCACAAAAGAGCAAGGCAGGCGGCCAGAGGCAATGTCCTGCCGGAGCTGAAGGCACAAGAAGTATCTGTGAGGAGCAAGGGGGAGCAAGGGGGAGAAGAACATCAGTTAGGACTGTAGCACTAGTAATCCTTGAGTTTTCAGATTCCTTTGAAAACAAACACGATATAGGCAACTCTTTACATCCATAGCAAAAACAGTCTTCTCTAATAAGAAGTCCACCCAGCTCCTGGGGCTCCTAACCTGTGGCTTATTTACAGAAAGTGAGTCTAATGGGCTCCATAACAGAAGGGGAAATCTGAACTGCTATTCTGGTCACAGCGTATTATTGTAATAGAGAGTTTTGTGACTGAAAGTAAAAAAATTCTAATCACTTAGACTGTTCTCCTTTGATTTAAAACTGTAATCAAAATTTGCCTGTCCCTCAAAAGTTGTAAAGACTAAGGAAATTTTACCAACACCTGCAGTTCTTATGCATTTGCCCAAAGAGCTAAGGTCACCCACCCTTTATCCTTCCTAGCCTTTCAATACTAATCTCTTTTCCTGGAAAAGAAAACTGAACAATTATAAGTCAGTCTTTACTATAAAGCCCTTACTTGCCCGTTCACTCCAGCTAAAGCGGCAGCTAGTTCAGTTTAGAATAGAAAAAGCATGAGCTTCAGGGCCAGGCACAGCTGATGCTGCGCAACCTTGAGTGAGTTCATTCACTTGCCTGAGGCTAATTCCCCACCTGTAAAATGAGAATTCTACCCCCCTTTGAAGGTGAGGATAAAAATTAGATAATATAAATAAGACACACTGCATGTTACCTAGGAATCAATACCTAATAGCCATAATAATAATAATCTTTATAATAATGTTGTTATTTAATGTTCCAAGTGGTTTTACCACGCAGTTAGTTATAAAACATTCCGTTTTCCACTAAATGACACACAGAACCATGTTATTTATATTCTATGAGGATTGGGGGGGGGCAGTACCAACTCCTTTGCTGACATTTTAAAACCTGAGTCCTACTCTCGAATTTAACAACTTGCTAATAAGATTACCATCGACCCCTCCAAACTAAACGGCCCCACGTTCTTGAAGGCCTTTTACAGAGTGTCATCCCTGTGAGCAGTTGGCCACCTTCTTTCGTTGCCCGGCTGGCGTCCACGGCCCGGTCCCACTCCTGCACTCCGTCCCACACGTTCCAGCCGGAGTGCTGCCACTGGGCCAGCCCCGTGGCTGCGGGGTCGGACAGCACAACCCGGCACATGCTGTCAGCCCTTCCCAGTCCAGTTATACCTAGATTACCACCAAGCCCGCTGTCAGGCGGGACAGAGACCCGGTGTATCGTAGGCCTAGTGCCACAGTCAGCAAAGTACTTGCCACGCTGCCAAGTGCTCAATAGTCTTCTGAGGGAATGGAAGTCCCCTCACTGTCGCTACAGTCTGAGGATTTTTATGCACTGCATGCAGGAGCTCTCTTTCTAAGGAGGATTACAGTCCCTTGATCCCTGAAACACCACAAGCACAACTGCATTAACTCTAGAAAACTCAATTTTAAACTGGGCTTCCAGGGTATCCTTCGATTCTCGAAGTCTAATCAAGAACAGTGCTAGTTCTCCATATTTTATGGCACTTTGAAGACCTCAGCACAAAGATTCCATCTATTTCTATTTCCATCTATTTCTTGCTCCTTTTTGGATAATAGTCTCGACTTTTCACATTGGTCCTTTCCTGTTTTCAAAGATGAAGTCGAAGGCCCCAAAACTCCCAGCTTCTTCTTCTTCACAGAGCAGGACCCGGTATCCTTCAAACATTATTCTGAACAGTGTTCCTAGACTCTTCAAAAGCCACCTCAGCTTCTAAATTTTCACTCAAGTCATGGGAAAGATTTCAGTCATGACATTTAGGCTACCGGGCAGGGGGCTGGTCTCAGGCTGCCTGCCAAGGCTTTTGGTTAGTAGCTCACCAAACTATCGCATTTCTCTCACCACACACAGTGAGACTGTTCAAGCCCCATTTCAAAGAAAATCCAAAGCATTTACTGATGCTGTAAATTGCAATCACCAGAGGATTACCATCCCCCAAACAAATTACTGCAAGAAGTACATGTACAGAGAGGGTGCTGGGTCACAAAGCCCCAACTGCAGTGCTCAACGGCATTCCTGTGGTGAGGCTCTGGATCCAGAGCACATCCCCCTGTTAAGTTTTATGCTCCCAAGCAGCTCACTGTGCAGTTACGAAAGCTATGGTTTATTATTTACTAGCTGAAGCTAATTCGATCACAACTTTCTTAGTATCAGAAAACCCCTATCTAGCAACAAGTAGCAATGCGGGGGAGGGAGGCTTGTCATTTACCCAGTCTTGGAAAGGAATCTCCGTTATTCCTCTTTCACGTGGGTATCATGCACTCTTAAGCACTGACAGGACCTGATGTCTGACAACAAAACTGAACTAGCAGAAAGCATCAGGGGCACAGGAACCACAGGAATCAAAAGCAGACTTTTTCAGTAAGACCCTGTGGTTTTCTAAAAGTGTATTCTGAACACAGTTTTCCTTGGCCATGTAATCTATGCACCTATTCTTACCAAAGCTAATAAGTCCTATCGCTGGTAACCAAGCTGAACAGGGCTAAGATGTCAAGGCTCTTGTGGATTAAAATGTTCCTTGGTTACTATTCAAATACTCAGTCCCTCTCAGAATCAGTAAATGCTCTCTTGCTCCTCAACTGAATCTTTTATTTGCAACTTAAGCATCTGTTTGTATAGCCCAGACAATCTCAAAGAAGATGGAAATGAAATAGCTACTAAGAAAGCCTACCTTATTAGTTTTCTTTCCCCTTTGAGGTAGGGGACTCCCCAAAATTGGCTTTTTAAAATAATTTCCTTTTTGTACCCTTCTATCACTTTTGTGATTGATCTGAGACTAGTACACAGGTACACAAGGGTTATATAATAAAAACCATCTTAGTATTGACCTGAAATATTAAATATCAATGATTTTTAAAAGTCTAACAAGAAACAAAGTTGCCAGCGATATAATTTTTTTAATGTTCCATTACTCAACTATAAATAGAGAAATTAAAGGAAAGTGAATAAAATTTTTAAAACTGGCAACATTTCCAAGTATTTCCGAGTACACTCATTTCCAAGGAAACTTCTAGAATTCAACTTATGAAAAAATATCTTGGTTTTAATCCTGAAATTACCATTCTTCTCCCAGGGCACAGAAATATATAAGAGCTGTATTTTAAAATATAACTTACCTGGTGAGATCTTCAGTCAATTGAGAAGGATCAGGAGGATAAAACTTCACATTAAAGGTGAACAGCCAAGGAAGATCTGTAATTATTAAATATGGGTATTTATCCAACCAACAGAATGACCACTTATTTTGATAAAAATTAAAGGTTAATGTTCAAACAGTACACACTAGTCCCACTGTAAATCAGTTTGGAGAATTTCATTTTTTAGTTTTAAGAAAACTATTTACAAAAACAATGAAAAATAAAAATTACATAAATGACCCAACTATTAGAGAACAGATTCACTTTTGTTTTTAAAAGATTTATTTATTTGAGAGAGAGAGAGAGAGAGCACACATGTAAGTGGGGAGGGAGCAAGAGAGAGAAAGACTCCAGGAGACTCCTCACTGAGTGCGGAGCCCGATGTGGGGCTCGATCTCAAGACCCTGAGATCGTGACCTGAGCTGAAATCAAGAGTAGGACGCTTAACAGACTGCCCCACCCAGGTACCCCAGATTCACTTTTTTATAAACATTTACTAATACTTCAAATGTTTTGTATGGTGATATAGTATGCAAAAATTTTACTATAACCTCCATGTAATCGTTTTAAGATTTGTTTTAACCACATTATCTCTAAATGCCAAATATTCCCTACTGTTTTTTAAAAAAAAAGTATTTTAAGATTTGTACATTGTTGGGAGAAGGGAGGCAATAATTGATCACTATAGCCATTCAAGAAATGATTAATGGGCTATCTGAAGAAAGTGTTAAAAGAAATCCCAAAGAAGGGAAAGAATAGTAAAACATCACAAAACTTTAAGACAACAGAATTATTCCCAGGTTTTTATGGAGTAGGTGTAAGGATACTCATCATATGTAACATATGCTTGGCCATACTGTGCCACAAAGAATGAATACAGCAAACAACCATGTCAGAAATGAATTATAAAAAGTACAACATCGCTACCTGTACACTAACATTTAATTAGTGTTTGATATGTCATGCTTTGGATGGCTTTCAAAATAAGAAAAGAAAGAAAAGGGCGCCTGGGTGGCTCAGTTGGTTAAGCAACTGCCTTCGGCTCAGGTCATGATCCTGGAGTCCCGGGATCGAGTCCCGCATCGGGCT